CCGCATGCGAAAGTAGAGCACCGCGCTCTACCCCGTCTCTGAGCAAAGCTAACGTGCCTGACAAAATCCTGGTCTGGTGCGTGTGCACGCCGGAGTTTGGATGCTGTAAACTTCTCGCAAAGTCTGGAGCGATACCAAAAATCAGTTTTTGAAAGTCATGGATTTTCGATTTCAGTCAAAACAGCTCCTATTTTGCACAAAATCCTTGTTCCAGTGTTTCATAATTCAGCTCCGCACCAGCAAGACTGGAAAACCCTCCAAATACACCAAAAGCGAAACAAAACTATTCCTAGGAAAATGTACGAGTTGCAATGTAGGAAAGTTCCCGTCGCCTCACCCTGTGCGCAGCTCGGGTGTGCACCAGCCGGTTCTCCGAAGCAGCGGGGAGAAGAGGTCTGAGGGGCAGAGCTGGCGCGGGGGCAACCAAATTCGGGGCCCAGCAAGACTGGAAAACCCTCCAAATACACCAAAAGCGAAACAAAACTATTCCTAGGAAAATGTACGAGTTGCAATGTAGGAAAGTTCCCGTCGCCTCACCCTGTGCGCAGCTCGGGTGTGCACCAGCCGGTTCTCCGAAGCAGCGGGGAGAAGAGGTCTGAGGGGCAGAGCTGGGGCGGGGGCAACCAAATTCGGGGCCCAGTAGGCTGGAGAAGCGGGAGCCCTTTTGTTGCATCCCTCTCTGGGGTGGAAAGTGGAGGGATGATGAGTCTGTCTAATGCTGCTGGAGGATCGCAGGTGATGGAAAAGGGCGTTTACCTGGGGGAGAGGGAAAGGAGCAGCTGCCTGCGTGCGGGTTTTGGGGGGTGACGGAGAGAGGCCAGCTGGGGGGAGTCCTCCTCCCTTCCCGTTCGCGCAGGGTGGATGATGCTGGGGGACCTTCTTGCTGAAGTTGTCTCCCACGATGTTGTTTTTTTTGTGGGCTAAGCATCCTGAAGAAGGAGTTTCCTTTCTTACTGTAATTTTGGGGACTTTTCTGTTTTCTTCTCCTCTTCCTCTCCGCGTGCCTAGCTGAGTCCTGGAGGAGAAGCCTGAAGCTGCCCTTCCATCATCCCTCGAAATGCTTACAGGTCGTTACTTTGCCCTATCCATGCTTTGTGCCTGCAGGCCTGCTGACGCTCGCCAGGCTACTTCTGTTGGGAAAGTGAACGTTCGCCTCTCCCCGTCCAAAATAAACGAAGGGCTGGGGGCTAGGAGTGGATCTGAGGGGATCCCCAGGTTTCCCGGGAAGGATGCCCGTGCTCTGCCTGGTCCTTTCACAGGAAGACCTTCCCGAGAAACCACGGACGGCTCACGAGTTTAATGCTGGAGGTTAATAATAATGGCACCAGGCAGCAGATCATTGCCCCCGTATCTGGTTGAGAGATTTACAACTGAAACTCATGGCGGAGGAAGAAATTGCCTCAATCACTTGGAGTAATGGCACATGGAGAGGCACTTGGGCGTGACTGCTATTTAACACAAGAGCCCAGCTTGGCTTCATTTAACGTGCTGGTTCCTTTCTAATAAACACGTTACACTACAAGGTGGGGATTAAGATCAGAAAAGTAAATAAATTGGAAACTGATGGGGAGAGATGGGAAGGAAATGGAAGGTACTGGGGGGCAGCGACAGGTGATTAACTCCCGTGCCGGGGCGTGGGGAAACGACCCCGAAGGCCGCGGCGGTGGCTTCCCGAGCTTGGTTTCGGCATCTCTGTGGGCCCCACCCGCGGGGGGCTGCAGGTGCTGGGCAGCCCTGTAACGGCCCCCCGTCCCACAGGGCTGCTCCTGCTCCGCCGGGTACCTCCCGCCCCGGAGCCACCGGCCTCTCGGCGTGCCTGCAGGTCCGATGCCTGAACCTGGGAGATGGTTCTTCTTCCCTTCCCCGGGGCACTAAGGCAAGTGGCTACTTCTGCTTCTTCTCTCTGGCTTGTGAGGGCGTCCCGATCGGTCCTTTCCGTTCCGGATCGAGGCACCTGACGTAAGCGAGGTCACGGGCGCCTTGGCCAAGGCTCTGCAGGGAGGAGTCTGCGTTTCTTTAGCATTTCCCCTGCGCAGCATGTGGGGGGCGTTGCTGGGGGAAAGGGAGTTGACGCTCGAGGTCATGGACAGGAGTTTTTGGCTTTCTCCTGCTTTATGCGCGTTACGATTGCTCTGCCTTCTTGCCAGCAAGGGATCTCCCAGCTCTGTGTGCGCACGGCTGCGTGCGGGGGACTGTAACAGTTCGGGAGGCAACAGGGCTCGGGTACGGGCAGAGCCGGCGTGGGCCGGCCAGAGGGGTCAGGAGAAAGACCTCCACGGTGCCTTGGGGAGGTCTGGGCTTGGCAGAGCTTGCTTTGGTGCAGCCCGCTCGGAAACAGAGGCGGGCGAGGGAAGAAATCCCCGAGTGAAGGGGGGTCCCTTCGGTTTTGGCTGACAAACACGGCTTGTGGAAAGATGCTCTGGCCAGAGTTGTCTAACCAGCTCTTCCATCTTGCTTCGCCTCTAAAAGCAAAACAACCATCACATTAAAACCCCCCGCTGCCCAGGGAGGTCTCCAAAGACGCCAGCACGCTCTGCCCGTAACGCCAACGCGGCGGCACGCTGTCAATCCAGGAGGGATTCGGGCACGCCGCTGCCTGGGGCGCGCAGGGTTTCCCTGCTCGGGGTCGACAGGCCGGTGGGTACCTTTTGGGAAGGGCAGCTGCGGGAAGCCAGTCTCTTAAACAACTCAGTAGCTTTTACTATAGGTATTAGAGGAGCAACAGAAAGTGCAACGCACCGGTTGACGGGAAGGACTGGGGGGTTAATTTTCAGGATGCTGCCTGGGAATTTAGCCGTGGGATTTCCATTATTGCTAATGGGACTCACGCAGCTTAATTTCATGCGAGCTACACTAAAAAACATACCCCTAACCGTCTGCAAAATTTCAGTCCTGAAATCAAGCCTTTTAAAAGTTAGAGGAGGGTAAACAAACACCTGAAACCACACTGTCTCGCTATTTCCCCCCTTTCAGTCGTTCGGATTTAAAAGTCGGGGAGGGGGAGGAACTCGAGCAGTTTTAGGCAATTAAAAAACCCATACTGCAGGCACGCTGGCTGCCTGCGCTCCGCGTTTTCGCGCTCTGCCAGTTAAAACGGCAGAGTTATAACCCCCGAAAAAATAGGGGTAGCTGATGCCTTACCCGTCAGTATACTACCGCGAGCGCTGCGTTATCATACGCGTCTAATAACCCAAGCAGCGCCGCCTTTCATTGTGAGGCCTCTGTTATTAGGCTGTTCTCGTTAAATGACTGCTATCATCTGGTCCCAAAGTACATTAAATCCCATTATAATTATAAACACACTTCCCCATAACATTCTCCTTAGATTACATTTGCGCTGCTTTACCCCAAGGGTATCTTTGTACTAATACCGTCCGTATTTGTTGTTTTAGCTGATGATGCCGGGCCCTGGGCTGGCTGCGGTGTGCCACGGGTAGCGCTGGGAAGGGAGAGTTGTTGCCGCTACCGTGCCGTCCCCTGCAGATGACACGGGTCTTTAAATGCACCGAGCGCGGGCACCGCCGAGGTGCCGGAGTGCACGCGTGACCCCGGTTAAGGATGCTCTGCCTGGGGAGCAGCTCCCTCGGCGTGGGGCGTCTCGCGGCCCACGCTCTACCGCTGCCTTTTTCTGTTGTTGTCGGCGTTGCAGAGCCGCCGGCGTTTCCCCTTCCCGTTTTGTTTTGCTCCCTTTCCGAGGCTGCCGTCGCCGATCTTTGCCGGCAGACCTCCGTCGCCCATCCTCGGGCACGGGGACCCGCCGCGTCCCTACATGTGAGCGGTGCCAGTGTGGGGTAGGCGTTTAATCTGGGCGAAATAAGCTCCACCGGGGTGGCGCGCGCTCGGTGTCGCGTCGCGCCCCGGCTCCCAGCCAGCCAAAATCCGTCGCCGAACCCGAAACTTGGCTTTCTGCTCGGTTTTTACCTTCTCTCCCCCCTCTTAAATCTGGGTGTCCGCCTCCCCTTAGCACCGGCTGAC